GATCTAATGGATCATTATAATTGTACGAATTTATATTATGGACCCTTTTACTTAACTCTTTACCAATTGAGCTCATTAAAAAAGAAGGGAGAGTTAAAAAGGGAAACGTGAAAAAAAAATTAATTATAAATTTTTTTAAGAAGAGAGAGAAACAGAATAAAATAATAATAATAATTAAAAAAAAGTGTAGCATGCAAAAAAAGAAAAAATTAGAATTTTCTTTTTAAAATTAATCCTAAATCCCATAAAGTTTTATCTCCTATTTTAAATCTAACTAAAAAAAACAATCCTAAAATTACCCAAATACTAAAAACTCATTCCACATAAATTCTAATTTGTAACAAGTAGATACCTATATATATTCTATTCATAATAACGTTAAAGAAAAATACGACTACACGCAAAAAAAAAGGAAAAGAAAATACGGATGTTTCAAATTAGTAAAGTTCTATTTCTTAACTTTATTCTATTTTGTTTGAGCAAATTTATGTGCTTATACATATTTTTATTAATGAATAGGCTTATAAAATAAGATAACTTTTAAATAGATTTAAAATAAATCAAAGAATGAGAGTAAATATTTTATTTTTTTTACTTTTTTACTTCTTTTTTTTTTCAAAGTCCAAAAAAATGATTATGATACATTACCAGCCAGTAGGGGTGGGCATAAATACCGAAAAACCGAAAAACTGAACCGAACCAAAAAAATTCGATTCTTCGGTGTTGGTTCTCGGTGTTTTGGTTCGGTGTCGGTTTTCTTTTGGAACTTCGGTTCTTCGGTTCGGAGTTCGGTGTAAGGGTCCTGAAACTACGGTGCACCGGAGAACCGAAGTTTTATTAGATAAACTTAAAAGTATTTATTATATTACTTAATTTTTAACTTTACTTGGCCCATTTCAATTTATATATTTAGATCCTAAACTTAAATAGCAAAAATCTTAATAACAAAATAGTAAACCCTAAAGACCTAAAGTCTAAACTAAACAAAACTCAATTTAATTCAAGTTTGAGCAGCAACTTGGTGTTTCTACTTTCTACTTTTTTTATCATTTTATGTTGTTACTTTGAAGTGAGAACAACAAATTGATGTTCTTATCTTTTATTGTTAGACGGTTAGTTGTTACTTTGAAGTTTGAAGTGTGAAGTGAATAACAATTGTTACTTTATCATATTCTCTCTTTATTTTTGTTTACACCGAAAAACTGATTTTAAAACACCGAACTAAACCGAACCAATCTAGTTTGGTTTGAAATATGGTGCACACTTTTCTAAAACCGAATACTGAAGAATCGAACCGAAACTTAATTAAACCGAACCGAAGAACCGAACGTCCACCCCTACCAGCCAGAGCCTGGACAAAATTCACTTTATTGCTTGCTCCATTTTTCAATTTCTTCGTTATTGTTTTCTTCCTTGCTTTAACACCCATCTTTGAGCTATAAGGCTTAGTAGACCTCACCGGAGAACGGTGACAGATAAGCAGATGAATTCGCCGGAGTTGCCAAGCGCGAGAGAGTTTTTTTTTTTTTGTTCTCACTTTAAAAAAGATATGATTTTCCTTTGAGAGAATGACGTAGATAAGCGAAACTTTTAACACATATTTCTTATTCCCTTTTAAAAAATGATTAAATTAAAAAAAAATATAAAAAAAATTAGTTCGAAGAAAAGGTAAAAACTTGCTGAAGAAGCAACGTTAGAAAAAACCAGCGAATTTTGTTCAGAATAACTGCTATTTATAGCGAAATCAGCAGGGATTAGGGTTTTAATATACCTTTCAACTTTCTTCCCTACAGATCAACAAATCCATGGCGAAACGAAAAGAAGAGAAAATTGATCATTGTGCACAGGTCACAAGTCGTATCCTTCTAAAGGAGATTCAAAAGGAGCTTAAAAAAACTAAAAATTCGAATACTAACATATTGCTCTCTCCACTGTCTTTCCACGCCTTACTGAACATGACTGCTGCCGGAGCAACGGGAGATACATTGAATCAGATGCTTCGATTTCTCGGTGTTCAGGACATTGATGATTTGAATTCGAAATTTTCAAATTTGTCTTCTGTTATGGAGAGAAATAGTAATGGTGGCCCTGCTTTGAGTTTCCTTAATGGAATGTGGGTGGCTCATACACATGAAATCAGAGACTCTTACAAACAATTAGCCAACACTCTCTATGAAATTGATCCTAAAGTTGTTGATTTTGAACGCAAGGTAAGTGCTCTGATTAATCTTTTGAAGTTTTATCTATCATGTAATGAATTTTTTTGATGAATAAATGTTTGGATAGATGGTGCATTGATTAATCTTTTGAAATTTATCTATCTTGTCATAATTGTAATGTACTGTTTCGATGAATAAATGGTTGGATAGATGGTATTTTTTTCCTACCTACATAAGGATAATATACTCCTCGCTATAAAAATAGTACATTAGCTCTAGATCTATTGGAATCCTTTACATTTTTCCTGTTGGATGATGAAGGAGTTCCGGCTATGAAGGTAAGGATGGAAATGCCGTTTCAATTATAGCTGCTGAGAGTATTGTGTTGCAGTATGAGTCATCTTATCATAATCTCCTATCTATTATTTTTAATTTAATCTCAGATATGCTCTCTAATGAGTTGTAATCAGTGGCGGAGCTAGAAATTTTAATAAGGGGTTCAAAATCTGAGGAGTAAACACACGAACTAGTGGAAGGGGTTCATGTGATGAAACTAATTCTGCTTTATAGTTTTTCCCTGGGGATCTTATGAATTGTTTTAACTTTTGTCATTTCCACAATATGAATAGACTTGGTTATTGTATCTTCACTTTGTCCTTTTTATCCCTTTAAACTAGTACAACACAAAAGTTAACAACCATTCAAACAAGCTCAAAATTTAATTTTCTTTGTAATGTTTTTGAAATTTGCTTACAGAAAAGTGAAATTATTTGTATTGGTGGTTTAGTTGAGAAGTAGATCTTGAATTATCATATACATCATTTCAACAAACTATTAGCTATTTAGAGCATGAATTATCCTTCCTTGTTTGGAATAGTAGTCTGTTTACAGTGGAAGATAGAGCCTAAACTCCTTCCTTCTTATGATGGTGCACCTCGAATGTACTTGTGTCCTTCCACCACTATTTCAAGTATCTGGTGTCTTTGCCTACCAAAGTTTAGCTGTAATTTGAACCACGTACTTTCGCATGGTTTTCATACCAATTTGATGTATCAAAAATATATTATATATAGATTCCCATGTCAAATGTTTTACCTTCAAGCTATTTTGTGTACAATGCTGAACTCCATAAATAAATTGAGTTCAGTATTAACTTATGAATGTATTTGTGCATAGCAAATAAACAGAATGAATTCATTATGCTGCAGGAAGAAGTGGTAGACGAAGTTAACACCTGGGTAGAGTCTGCATCAAGAGGCCTTATCACAAACATTATAAAGCCAAATCACATCAATGATAAAACAAAGGTCATTCTCACAAATGCTCTGTATTTTAAAGGTACATGGAACTTTGATCAAGAACGCACCATTGACAAAGACTTTTACCTTCTCAATGGTGACAAAATCTCAGTTCCCTTCATGACTGGCTGCTACGATTACAAATATGGATCATTTGAAGGCTATCAAGTTGCTAAAATTCCATATCAAACTGGAAAAAAAGACGATAAGAAAGTCTTCTCTATGTTTATCTTCTTTCCAAATGAAAAAGATGGATTGCCTAGCTTATTGGAAAAAGTGAATTCTGATCCAAAATTCTTTACCCAAGGCTTCAGTCTTTCGGCTGAACCACTTGATGCATTCTACATCCCAAAGTTCAAATTCTCGTACAGTGCAATGAAACAAGTTATAAGAACAATGAAGGAGATGGGATTGACTCTTCCTTTTGATAACAATTGCAATGAGTTAACAGGGATCGTGGAACCTCATGGGCCATTCTTTATCAACAGGATAATACAAAAGGCATTTATCGAAGTAAATGAGAAGGGTACTGAGGCAGCAGCTGTTACTGAGGAATCAGATGATGACATGGGATTTTCGATGTATGAGGCACCAAGATTTGTAGCCGATCACCCTTTCTTGTTCATGATAAGGGAAGAGGTTTCAAGATTGGTGCTTTTCACTGGAGCTGTACTAGATCCATCAAATGATCATTCATCAAGTGATTTCGATGATTAGTTTCTTAAATTGGTATTTGTTAAAGAACTTTTGAGTGTTTATGTTTAAATTAAAGTGTTCTTAGAAAATAAGTGATGAAGTGTGACCTTGAGTTGTCCAAAGACTTCATATTTTATCAACAAATTATTTCTTCTGAATTATTTGGGATTAATCACCTTTAAAGCTGATGGGTAAGTATCTAGGTATTGGTAAGAAAGTATTTTTTTAGATAGTTTAAATGATAACAATAATTCCAATAAAACCGGAAATAAATTTCGTTAATCGTTTTTGTAAAGAATATTTCAACTCTTGTTCAGTAACACTTGCTTCAACTAATAGTTAGAAGGAAATTTTTCTCAACTTTAATATTAAAAAGTACTTTCTCCGTCCCAATTTATGTGGCCCAATTGGTTCATATATGTCAATGCTTTGTACTACAGAGGAAATGGTTTCAAAGTTTCGTGTCTTCCATATCATCAAGGCCATGATAATAGGTAAGACTTTTGCTTGGTTTGATATAAACATCGAGTGCAAGTAAGACTAGATCTGATGATGAGGAAATATGTTCCGGTTGTGTTTAATGAATTTTATTAATTACTTTTTAAAGTTAAGAGTGCTAAAAAGTATACCAAATAAGAATTTAACAACTTAAAATCTTAGGTTTTTGTATAAAATTCTTGGTAAGTGTCCATATTTATGGTACACAATCTCCTAATTACAATCTACCAAGTAAAGTAAAACTTGTAAACTTGGGCTACAAGAAACTACCATCATATTTAACGTGCAATATTCATCAAATTACATATTATTCACATCAAATTTTTGCAAAGCTTTCAACTTTGAAACCATGGATGAAGCAATGATGAAGAAAAGAAAAAGAAAAGTCACTCATACATCTTCTTCGCAAGCAAATATCGATATGGAACAGTTTGTCACAAACCAAACGGACGTTTCTTTCAGGCTAACTAAACAAGTTTTCTCCAAAGAAGTTAAAGGTGTTTCGAATCTGGTGTTCTCTCCTCTGTCAATTCAAATAATTCTTGGTTTAATCGCCTCCGGCTCAAACGAACCAACTAAGGACCAGCTACTCTGTTTTCTCAAGTCCAAATCCATTGATGAACTTAATTCTCTGTATTCTCATATTGTCAACAACGTTTTTGCTGATGGAAGCCCCAATGGTGGTCCCATTTTGTCCATTGCTAATGGTGCTTGGATCGACCGATCAATGCCTTTTAAGCCTTCTTTTAAGGAGATTGTGAAGAAGGTTTACAAGGCTACTTCAAAATCTGTTGATTTTCAGAACAAGGTTAGTCCTTCAGCTTGTTTGGATGGCTGCTACCGGTTGTTTCATAATATATTGTTTTATCCTGTATTGTTTGTTGTGAATAGTGGCAAAAAAAATCAATTTGACTCCATCCATTATATAATGGAGTGACAAAAACATTAGGTAATTTCATCAATCTAGCCAAGCTTTGGTGGACAGAGTTAGGGAGGTAGCCATTACTTGTTGGAATAGTCGAGGAGCGTGTAAGCCGTCCTGACCATGTATTCCATTGAATGGCAATTAATTTTAGATATTTGTAGATTGATATTGTTGTTGTTGTGGCCGGTGCTATGGACTTGAATTAAACATAATTAATACTGATAATTCATATAGTCAATATCAATTAATATTTAGATTATACTGTTGTTAATCCATCAATCTGACTATGAAGTTGTACTTTTTGTTGAATGTTAGTTATAAGATTTTTGAGTGTATCTATGTATGTACTAATTCTTGTCGTACTCTGTTTGTCTTCACCTCAAAGCCTGCTAAGGTTGTCAATAAAGTCAATCGATGGGCTAAAAAGAATACAAATGGACTCATCGAAGAGATCCTTCCTCATGGCGCAGTAGACAATATGACAAGGCTCATCTTGGCCAATGCACTCTATTTTAAAGGAGTATGGGATGAGAAGTTCAATGCTTCTAAAACGAAAGACCATAAATTCCATCTCGTCAATGGAAGGTCTGTTCGAGCACCCTTCATGACTAGCTGGAAGAAGCAATACATTAGAGTCTTCAAGGGCTTTAAAGTATTGCTGCTTCCCTATAAAAGGGGCATAGACACACATCAGAAGTTAAGCATGTATTTTATTCTCCCTGATGCACATGACGGATTACCAGATTTACTCGACAAAATCACTTCAAAACCTGGATTCTTAGATCACCACATTCCGTCTAGAAAAGTCAGTGTGGGAAAGTTTCTTATCCCTAAGTTCAAAATATCTTTTGGATTTGAAGCTTCTAAGGTTCTAAAGGGACTCGGCCTCACATTACCTTTTATTGATGGTCTCACTGAGATGGTGGACGCGGATGAGCCTCTGGCAGTTTCACAAGTTTTTCACAAGTCGTTTATTGAAGTAAACGAGGAAGGTACAGAAGCTGCAGCTGTTACTGCTATGACCGGTTGCTCAATGATGATGGTTAAAGAGGAGATAGACTTTGTTGCTGATCATCCATTCTTGTTCCTGGTGAAAGATGAGACTACCGGTGCTGTTCTGTTCATGGGGACTCTGTTGAATCCTCTTGCTGTTTAGCATGTTGCTTCACTACTTCCATTCGTCAATTCTAGTTAGTTACATTGATGTTACGTTTATTTTAGTATGAATATCATATTATCTTAACTACAGAAGTTGTGTACGTCTTAGTTTGTCACTTGTTATAGTATTCGATTGGCATATGAGTATTGGTCATATAATTTTACTCGTCGATTTTTTGTTTTTTAAGAAAATAAAATTACAAAGAGGAGGGGAACGAGTGATGCTACCGATATGGAATTATATGACATGAGCTTTAACAATTCATGTTATACCAGATAGACCATAAATAAAAAAGAAGAAAAAGTATCTGCTTAATTTTCAAGCTACATGCTTATCCAATCAATAAATAACAATATCTTGACTCTACTTAACTTGTTGAAAGTGAGTGTTACGTGTATGAACGCAATCTTCTGAGAATCAAGCTTAATGATCAGTCATTTTCTTTATTTTCCATTTCGCGATTCTATGGAATTGATTCAAATACAAAATTCCACATGTTAAGTAATAGTACTAGTTATTTTAGTGTATATATTCTCCCAAAGCTTTTTTCACCTTTGATATCGTGTGTGGTGCCATATACCGTCATGGGACTGACTCACTCTCGCTCTCATCACTCTCATTCTTACTCGTCTAGTTCTTTCCATGATCAAAATATTGATATGGAAATGAGTGAATCGATCAGCACCCAAACGGATGTTTCTTTCATTCTCGCAAAGCATGTCTTTTCCAAAGAGATTAAAGGCGATACCAACCTCGTGTTCTCTCCTCTTTCAATTCAAATAGTACTAGGCCTGATTGCTGCAGGATCAAAGGGGCCAACTAAGGATCAACTTCTCTGTTTCCTCAAGTCCAAATCCATCAATGAACTCAATTCTCTGTATTCTCATATTGTCAATATTGTCTTTGTTGATGGCAGCCCCAATGGAGGTCCACGTTTGTCCATTGCTAATGGTGTTTGGATCGATCAAACGCTGCCTTTTAAGCCTTCTTTTAAAAAGGTTGTGGATAACGTTTACAAGGCTGCTTCAAATTCTGTTGATTTTCAGAACAAGGTAGGCCTTATTGTAATTTGTTTCATTGCAATTCCCCTTTGTTAACTAAAGCATAATGCTAATTCTGCCGTAAAATCTGTTTGTTTTACTAATTGATTTAGGCTACTGAGGTTGCCAATCAAGTCAATCAATGGGCTAAAATGAAGACAAATGATCTCATCAAAGAGATACTTCCTCATGGCACAGTAAACAATATGACAAGGCTCATCTTTGCAAACGCGCTATATTTTAAAGGAGAGTGGAACGACAAATTCAATGCTTCAGAAACAAAAGACTATGAATTCCATCTCCTCAGAGGAGGGTCTATTAAAGCACCTTTCATGACCAGCAATAAGAAGCAGTATGCAGTAGCCTTTGATGGCTTTAAAGTATTGGTACTTCATTACAAACAAGGTAGAGATACTACACGTCGTTTCTGCATGTATCTAATTTTGCCAGATGCTCGTGATGGATTACCAGCTTTAATAGACAAAATCAGTTCAGAACCAGGATTTTTAAACAACCATGTTCCGTTTGAAAAGGCTAAAATGCGCAAGTTACTTATCCCCAAATTCAAAACAACTTTTGGTTTTGAAGCTTCTAAGGTTCTAAAGGGACTTGGTGTCACTTCGCCTTTCTCTAGTGGTGGCCTCACTGAGATGGTGGATTCCGTGTTAGGTGGCAGGTTGTTCGTTTCACAGATTTTTCATAAGTCGTTCATTGAGGTAAATGAAGAAGGAACCGAAGCTGCAGCTGTTACAGCTAGTGTGGTAATGACTAAATCCTTGATAATTGAGAAGGAAATCGACTTTGTTGCTGACCATCCATTCATGTTCCTTATAAGAGACGATGCTACTGGTGTTGTGTTGTTCATAGGGAGCGTGCTGAATCCTCTAGCTGGTTAATTAGACCATATTGCATGATAATATAAAACTTTGTAAAGGACTGTTTACAGTTTCCTCACTTGTGTTTCTGTTTGATGAGAGATGGATGCTATGAATCTAAATAACCAGTTTCCTGATTTGTGTATTATTTTGATGAGATCTTGTACTGCCTTTGGCACCTTATATAATTGACTCTTCTATGCTTAATATTTGTGTGTATTTCGACATGATATTGAGTTTAAGAAAATCTTAAAAGAGTTTACTTCTAACATGTATGCATAGAACTTTTGAAATGAAATTGAAAAGGTAATGATCAATAAGCAATTGTTAGATGGAGCTTTCATAATTGTTTAGGTCACAGTATTCCTTAATTATAATTTATATGTCTAATGCATATTAAACATTATCCTTAAGGTAACATGTCATTTTCTCCTTCTTGTATTCGTTCTTCTTTAGATATTATATACCTTAACATCCACCTGGACCTTGAAGCTGATTTGATCAAAACAACTTAATGACTAACCAATAATTATTATCCTTGATAATCACTTTCTTTGTTGAAAAAAATTGGAATCCGGAAGGAAGAAATGTGATTTCTTGAGATAATAACTGTTATTTGTGCGACTCAAATCCTTAAATAGAGATGCAAAATGTCACCATTATGTGCTTCGGACAGGGCCGGCTCTATGTATACTTTAATAAGGCATTGGCCTTAGGCCCCCAATTTTAGGGGGCCTCAATTTTTTACCAAGAATAAATTATGTGTTAATTTTTTATAGAAAAAATATTGATTATTTATCATAAAAAAGTATATATTTAAAATTATTATTTTATTCTCTTCAACCCCATTCAACTAGAAGAAATCAAGAAAATATTATTTTATTTTCTTACTCTCTCTACTAATACTCACATTATTTTCTTTTTAACTCCTTTTACACTCTCTTCTTTAAATTGTTGATAAGTTAGAGTAATATTCTGTCAAAAATGTCAATTAATAGTCGAAAAGTATTGAACAAATTCAATTGTAAATTCTTTTTCCATTTCTTCTTAGATTTTCAAGCATTACAACAACCATAGTAAAATGTGGGTAACCAAATTATCAACTTCATCAAAGCTATGGTTCTAACTCTTATATTTATTTGAAATTTGTCAACTTATTACTTGTAGAACTATGTTAACAATTCATATAATGATTGTCCGAGTAAGATACTATTTTTCAACGTTAAATTAATAAAATCTTATTTAAAACTAATAATTGAAAAAGAAATCAAATAAATCATTTATATATAAAAAAAATATTAAGTAATACTTTGCATTTAAAAATGTAAGAAAAATAAATTTTAAATAAATGCATGTGAAGTTTATTTAGATTTTAGGCCTCTAATTAAGATTTCGCTTTAGGCCTCCGATTACGTTGAGCCGCCCCTGGCTTCGGAAACAACAGGTTGATAACTCTGAAGTCACCCCTGGTGGGACATGCTCTACTTTCCTTCTCCGTGTTATTTTGGTGTTGTTTCCGTCTAACACCTTCTGTTGGTCCCAATCAATCAACATTGACCATATAATAATTGATTTTTGTTGTGGAAAGTCAGTGCTACTCGTTCCTTCCATTGATTACTTCCTGTGTACTGAATCAATTCCTGTACAGTATATAAATTCTTGCAAAGCTTTCAGCCTTGTGATCATTCATTCTACTCACTAAGCCTCCTTCTTCTTCTACTTGTTCGTGTGCAAATATGGATCTTCACGAGTCAGTCTCCAGCCAGACGGATATTTCTTTCATGCTTGCTAAGCATGTTTTCTCCAACGCAGTTAAAGGCCATACCAACCTGGTGCTTTCTCCTCTCTCAATTCAAATAGTTCTTGGCCTTATTGTTGCTGGCTCTAATGGACCTACTCAGGATCAGCTACTCTCTTTCCTCAAGTCCAAATCCATTGATGAGCTCAACTCTCTTTATTCACATATTGTCAGTGTCGTCTTTGCTGATGGTAGCCCCAATGGAGGTCCGCGATTGTCCATTGCTAATGGCATTTGGATCGACCAAAGGCTGCCTTTAAAGCCTTCTTTCAAGCAGGTCGTGGATAATGTTTACAAGGCGGCTTCAGAGTATGTTGATTTTCAAAATAAGGTTAGGCCTTATTCTTTCATTCAAATATTAATCTCTCCACTTCAATTTGTTTGTCTTACTTTTTAAGCCTCTAAACGAAGGGAGCCTTAGCATGGCTGGTAAAGTTGTTGTCGTGTGACCAGAGGAGGTCATCAGATCAATCTGTGAAAACAGTTTCTTGCAGAAATGCAAGATACAACTGTGTGAAATAGACTCTTATGGTCTAGCCTTTCACTGTACCATGCGCATCAGGGGAGCTTAGTGCACCGATTTCCCTTTTATAAGCCTCCAAACGTTGTTATGTGATATGAATACTAATGACTGCAATTAATAATATGAAATATCTAATTATATCATTCCATGTTTGTCTTGCCAATTTGATTAAGGCTGCTGAGGTTGCCGATCAAGTCAATCAGTGGACTAAAATGAAGACAAATGGTCTCATCCAACAGATTCTTGATCGTGATGCAGTGGACAACATGACAAGGTTGATCTTGGCCAATGCACTATATTTCAAAGGTGAATGGAATGAGAAGTTCGATATTTCAGAAACAAAAGACCACGAGTTCCATCTCCTCGATGGACTGCCTATTCGAGCACCCTTCATGACTAGCAAGAAGAAGCAGTACATAGCAGCATTTAATGGCTTTAAAGTATTGAGGCTTCCTTATAAACAGGGCACAGATACGCGTTGCTTCTCAATGTACTTCATTCTTCCAGATGCACATGATGGATTACCCGCTTTATTTGACAAAATCAGTACAGAACCTGGATTCTTAAATCACCGCGTTCCGTTAAGAAAAGTTAGTGTGAGCAAGTTTCTTATCCCTAAATTCAAAATAACTTTCGAGTTTGAAGCTTCCGACATTCTAAAGGGACTTGGCCTAACGTTACCTTTCTGCGGTGGTGGTCTCACTGAGATGGTTGATTCCACTTTACCTGAGAATCTATCTGTTTCAAAAGTTTTTCACAAGTCTTTCATTGAGGTAAATGAGGAAGGCACCGAAGCTGCAGCTGTTACCGCTAGTGTAATAATGACTACGTCTTTTATAATTGAGAAAGAAATCGACTTTGTTGCTGACCATCCATTCCTGTTCCTTATAAGAGACAACACTACTGGTGTTGTGTTGTTCATAGGGAGCGTGCTGAATCCTCTAACTGGTTAATTAGACCATATTGCATGATTATATAAAACTTTGTAAAGGAAAGTTTACAGTTTCCTCACTTGTGTTTCTGTTTGATGAGAGATGCTATGTATCTAAATAACCAGTTTCCTGGTTTGTGTATTATTTTGATGAGATCTTGTACTGTCTTTGGCACCTTATATAATTGAGTCTTCTATGCTTAATATGTGTGTGTGTATTTCAATATGATATAGAGTTTAAGAAAAAACTTAGAAGATTTTACTCTAGATTTGATTCTCATTTATGTCATTTACTTGGCTTTTCCTACATAATATTTTCATTTACTTTTAACATGTATGCATAGAACTTTCGAAATGAATGTAAAGGTAAATTATCAATAAGCAATTGTTTGATGGAGCTTTCATAATTGTTTAGGTCACAGTATTACTTAATTAGTATAACGTATATGTCAACCCCTGGTGGGACATGCTCTACTTTCCTTCTCCGTGTTATTTTTCGTGTTGTTTCCATCTAACAGCTTCTGTTGGCCCCAATCAATCAACATTGCTGACCATATAATAATTGAGTTTTGTTGTGGAAAGTCAGTGCTACGTGTTCCTTCCATTGATTACTTCCTGTGTACTGAATCAATTCAAATGCAAAACCCCACCTGTTAAGTAACAGTATAGTATATAAATTCTTGCAAAGCTTTCAACTTTGTGATCATTCATTCTACTCACTAAGCCTCCTTCTTCTTGTTCGTGTGCAAATATGGATCTTCACGAGTCAATCACCAGCCAGACAGATATTTCTTTCATGTTTGCTAAGCATGTTTTCTCCAACGCAGTTAAAGGCGATACAAACCTGGTGCTTTCTCCTCTCTCAATTCAAATAGTTCTTGGCCTTATTGCTGCTGGTTCTAATGGACCTACTCAGGATCAGCTTCTCTGTTTCCTCAAGTCCAGATCCATCGATGAGCTCAACTCTCTTTATTCACATATTGCCAGTGTCGTCTTTGCTGATGGCAGCCCCAATGGAGGTCCGCGATTGTCCGTTGCTAATAGTATTTGGATCGACCAAAGGCTGCCTTTAAAGCCTTCTTTCAAGCAGGTTGTCGATAATGTTTACAAGGCTGCTTCAGAGTATGTTGATTTTCAAAACAAGGTTAGGCCTTTATTAATTTCATTTCATTCAAATATTACTCTCTCCGCTTCAATTTGTTTGTCTTACTTTTTAAGCATCCAAACGAAGGGAGCCTTGGTGTGGCTGGTAAAGTTGTTGTCATGTGACCAGGAGGTCATCGGATTAAGCTGTGAAAATGCAAGATACAACTGCGTGAAATAGACTCTTATGGTCTAGCCTTTCACTGTACCACGCGCATCAGGGGAGCTTAGTGCACCGATTTCCCTTTTATAAGCCTCCAAACGTTGTTATGTGATATGAATACTAATGACTGCAATTAATAATATGAAATGTCTAATTCTGTCATTCCATGTTTGTCTTGCCAATTTGATTAAGACTGCTGAAGTTGTCAATCAAGTCAACCAGTGGACTAAAATGAAGACAAATGGTCTCATCCAACAGATTCTTGATCGTGATGCAGTGGACAACATGACAAGGCTGATCTTGGCCAATGCACTATATTTCAAAGGTGAATGGAATGAGAAGTTTGATGCTTCAGAAACAAAAGACCACGAGTTCCATCTCCTCGATGGACTGCCTAGTCGAGCACCCTTCATGACTAGCAAGAAGAAGCAGTACATAGCAGAATTTAATGGCTTTAAAGTATTGAGGCTTCCTTATAAACAGGGAACAGATACGCGTTGCTTCTCAATGTACTTCATTCTTCCAGATGCACATGATGGATTACCCGCTTTATTTGACAAAATCAGTACAGAACCTCGATTCTTAAATCACCACGTTCCGTTTAGAAAAGTGAGTGTGGGCAAGTTTCTTATCCCTAAATTCAAAATAACTTTCGAGTTTGAAGCTTCCGACATTCTAAAGTGTCTTGGACTCACGTTACCTTTTTGCGATGGTGGTCTCACTGAGATGGTTGATTCTACTTTACCTGAGAATCTATCTGTTTCAAAAGTTTTTCACAAGTCCTTCATTGAGGTAAATGAGGAAGGCACCGAAGCTGCAGCTGTTACGGTTACTCTAATAATTCCATTGTCCTTGTTTATTGAGAAGGAAATCGACTTTGTTGCTGATCATCCATTCCTGTTCCTTATAAAAGATGAATCTACTGGTGTCGTATTGTTCCTTGGGAGGGTAATGAATCCTCTAGCTGGTTAGCCCTACTCAACCAACGAAGAAGAGTGAAGTGGTGAAAACACTCCAAACTTGACGTGAATCATTACTTTCGTCCATGATGCCTAGTACTAATTAAAACACCCCTAGGCTTGACTAACGTAATAATTCATGTCAAGTTTGTTTTTAAGTTTGAGTTTCGAGAGAACGAATTAAGGCAACGTGAATTGTCAATCTTTCATAGAAATTTCATTTGTGCTTAATTTGTTTGTTCATTTTGATATGATTTAAAGTTTGAAAGTAATAAAAAGTTTTTTATATATACTCTGTTTATGAAGTTAAAGTTTCATTCAAACATACAATTTGGATTTTAAAATTTTAATTTTATGGTTTTAAACATGTAGTGTTGTAAAAGAAAAGGTTATTCTTTTATAAATAGATTAAAAAGGAAAGTAGATCATTCTTTTTTAAACGGACAAGAAAAAAAAAAAATTGGAAAATTAAGTAAAGGCGTCGGTTGAAAGCGTAGTGTAAGTATTACTCCACTTTTCATGCATCCAATTATAATCACAAAACACGGTATTAATTAGCACAAACGCTAATCAACTCCTACATAACTAAAATCAGCTAATTAGAGGCGTTTAATTATCAATCCTGCGTATGTTAAAAGCAAATAATTAACCCATACCTTAAATTTAATTAATTACAGTAGAAAAATAAACAGTAGCGTAAGTATTACGAGCACGTTATTAACACAACGCTAACCAACTCCTATATAAAGAGTCGTCTCTCTCAACTTCAATTTCATTCATCACACAAAAAAAGTTATGGATTTCAGTTCTCAGTTCAACTTTATGCATCGCCGCGCATTGCTTCAAAAGCAGAGCCACGTTTCTTCCATTCTCGCAAAGCATTTATTCTTCAACAACTATGGAAAACCCGATTACGATCTGTCTAAAAATGCAAATATGGTGTTTTCTCCACTCTCAATTCAAATTGTTCTCGGCCTTATTGCTTCTGGATCCAGTGGTGCTACATTGGATCAATTGTTGAGTTTTCTCAAATTTAACTCTGTTGAAGAACTTAACTCTGTTTATGCTCGGGTTATTGCTGATGTTTTAGCCGATGGAAGCCCTATGGGAGGTCCTCGTTTGTCCGTTGCTAATGGAGCTTGGATTGATCAAACTCTCTCGTTTAAGCATTCTTTCAAACAGGTTATGGACAATGTTTATAAGGCTGCTGCAGCTTCTGTTGATATTCGGTACAAGGTAATTCGTCTTAATCCTTCACTCATTAGAAAAATTAATTGCATACATGTAATATTTGATATTATGTGATACTTCTCTCCATACCAAATTTATGAGGCATCTTTCGAATTTTGAAAAATCAAACAAGATTTATAGTACGTTTTAGTTTTTACATAGTCTTTGAATATGTGATTTTATGTCAAAATTGAAAAGTTTTGACTCTCGATGAGTATAAGCACATTAGAAATGTTGGATATTACGTGATAATACTCCCCTTGGCACCTTTTGGAACAAGTTTTCCTTTACCTCGATTTTTTAACATACCTTGTAAAATGTTTTGAATTGTTAGTTATTGTGATTTAATGTAGTTCTTACGTATATAGTCGGTAATATATTTGTAAAGTTTATGTCAAAAAAATTAATAATTTCATGTCCAAATTCACATTAAAATTGAAAAGCTTGACTCTCGAAGTAGAAAGTGGGCCACATAATAAAATATTATGAGCATGATGGTTTACAGAATATGAACAAATGAACCTAATGTGCATATAGGAGATCTTGTTTATTTCTCTTAATTTCAGCTATATTCTGTTAATAGGCTGCTAATTTTATGTTCTCTGTTTGTTATTAAGGCTGATGAGGTTGCTGCTGAAGTCAATAAGTGGGCTGAAGAGAAAACAAATGGTCTCATCAAACAGATTCTTCCTCCTGATGTAGTCACTGGCGGGACTCAGCTGATCTTGGTGAATGCACTATATTTCAAAGGAGCCTGGAATGAGAAATTTGATGCTTCAGATACGAAAGATCACGAGTTCCATCTCCTCAATGGAGGATCTGTTCAAGCACCCTTAATGACCAGCCGAAAATGGCAATATGTGAAGGTGTTTGATGGTTTCAAAGTGTTAAAGCTTCCTTATAAACAGGGTGAGGACAAGCGATTTCTCAGCATGTATATGTTACTCCCAGATGCACGTGATGGATTACCAGCTTTACTGGAGAAAATTAGTTCAGAACCTGGATGTTTAGATCAACATATTCCGTTAACAAAAGTTAGAGTGCGCAAGTTTCTTATCCCTAAGTTCAATATATCTTTTGGACTTGAAGCTTCTAATGTTCTAAAGGGACTCGGCCTCACATTACCTTTTACTGCCGGTCTCACTGAGATGGTGGGCGAGAATTTGCCTCTGGTAGTTACACATGTTTTTCACAAGTCGTTTATTGAAGTGAACGAGGAAGGTACAGAAGCTGCAGCTGTTACTGTAGCTATGAATACGTTTGGGTGCTCATTGACGATGGTTAAAGAGGAGGAGATAGACTTTGTTGCTGATCATCCCTTCTTGTTCCTTGTGAAAGATGAGACTGCTGGTGCTGTTTTGTTCATGGGGACTCTGTTGAATCCTCTTGTTGTTTAGCATGTTGCTTCACTACTTCCATTCATCAATTTTAGTTAGTTACTTTGATGTTACCTTTATTTTAGTATGAATTTCATATTGTCTCAACTACAGAAGCTGTCCCTCAGTTTGTTTGTATTCAAGTTTGTTCTTCATTTTTCTCTTTGGTTGTCATTTGTTATAACTTATAAGTAGTATTTGATCGACTCCCCTGAGTCCTGACCAAGATGGTCAAGCTGGTAAGTCCGATCAAGTTGGACTCACAAGCTTCTAAGCTAGCAAACTTTGAAAATGGAAGTGTACGTGACAAAAGACAAATTTATACTGTCCTCGGTCCAAAAACATAATACATGTCATGTTTAGTTTTGAGACGAAACTAATGAATAATTGGCATGTATAGTATGCAAGTCAATCCGGCAAAAGAATATAAATTAATTAAAAACTAAGGGTTTGCTTACACTTTAACCCCACAAGCTTTACTTAGGAGATCGGAGTGAGGTTAATGTTTTTTTAACAAAAATATGAAGGCAGATACAAAGAAAATATTGAATGGTATATAATTATTTTGTTCCGGTTAAGTACTAACAATTAGCCTATTTACGAATATGAATGATAGTGAGATGGTTGTAAATTCTTATCCTGAATCATACCAAAATGAAAAAAGAACAAATAGTCTAGACTCTAATGATTTCCCTACCTTCATAAACTCATAGGAGATTGTATATTATTATGATGTCAAAATACTAATCTAATCCACATATCAAATAATTGCTTTAAAAATATAATAACTTAAATAATAACACACTAAAATCAACAATATGTATAAATCCATAAACTAGCCCGAACACCACTATTATAATAATCAATCTCAAATGCTTCGACAAACTAATTTAAACGAAGATAACATTATTCCATTCTATAAACAATTTTCTTTTGTCCTTTTGATAACGTGGTACAAATTCCATACTTCTATGCTAAGTATTGACTTTTAATACTATTTCAATCTTCAAAACGTGTATCTACTGTACCATTTCTTTTTCTGTTGACTCTTAAAATTCTTCACACACAAACTCAAAAATCTCCATAGCAATGGACCTTCAAGAATCAATCAGCAACCAAACAGGCGTATCCTTAACACTAGCCAAGCATGTTTTCTCCACTGAGGTTAAAGGGGACACCAACATGGTCTTCTCCCCTTTGTCGATCCATGTAGTGTTGGGTCTCATAGCAGCGGGTTCAAATGGCCCGACCCGTGACCAATTGCTCAGTTTCCTCAAATCGAAGTCTACTGATGAACTCAACTCTCTTTCTTCTCAGATTGTTTCGGTTGTCTTTGCTGATGGTAGCCCTAGTGGTGGGCCTCGCCTTTCGGTTGCTAATAGCGTCTGGGTTGAACAGACTTTGCCTCTTAAGCATTCTTTCAAACAGATTGTGGACAATGTTTATAAGGCTACTTCTTCTTCTGTTGATTTTCAGAAAAAGGTTAGATTTTTAACACCCCATTTGTATTTACTTATTTTGTTTCAAACATAATTGATTCATTCAGTTAAGAAATGCTTGATGGGATAACTGTTATATGAGGAGATCTGTTGAATTTGGAGTTGTTTATGGGGAAATTTTGATGCTATTCAGCTCCAAGTACTACCTCCGTTTTAATTTGTTTGTCTGTTTTAACTTGATACGGAGTTAAAGAAGTAGTAACAAATGGTGGAAACTAAACCAGTAAACAAGGGAAATAAAATAACAAAAACTCCTAAAATGGTGGAAACAAAAAATACAACCTATGCAATAAAACAAGTACTAACAAATGGCGAAGAAAGGAGCTTTTTGGAAGCTGTATGGTGAGAGCGTCAGCCAACTGGTCGGAACTAGGAAGTTGGTTTCTTGATGACCAACAAACTCAAGTAAGGCCAAGAAAAATAACGTAACCTGTGGTGGAATTTCGGTCAGTGAGTTTACCAGCCCAGTCAGGATCAGAAAACACCGAGAGATTTAGACTGGTGCTTGGAGCAATTTGAATGCCATAGTTAGCAGTGCTTTTGAGTTATGGAATGAGGCGTTTAACAGTCTTCCAGTGAGCATCAGATGGAGCATGCATAAATTGAGACAATTTGTTCACCGAGTAAGAAACATCAGGCCTAGTAAAAGACAAGTATTGCAACTTTCCACTTACTTTCCTGTATTCGATAGCCTCAGGAGATGCAGGATCAACCGAAGTGGTCCTGTTTCTTATTTTGTTACATAAGAAATTCAGTGTGCTTAATGTTCATGTTCGAGGGATTGTCATTTCTACTTTTAGCTAAGATTAGACTTTTAGTGCACTTCATCTTTTTGACATTGGAAATTTAGCGGCTTCGGCTTTTATCTTTATCTGTACCTTTTCCTTTTAGCTGGAGACTGAACTATGAACAGATGGGGTATGCATTTACATTACTGATAACCAGCAGGCCAATAAATGGTGTCTCATACATTTTCACTATGCTTATCATTCACTTTAATCTCAAATACTGATGTATTGCTACCTTCTTTGGAGATCGAAGAAGTTCTACATTCATTGCTTAAAAAACTGGCTATACTCTTCAAACATTTCTATTTCTCTGCAGCCTTAGCATGGATAGTTTTACTGACCTATATAAACATTAGTCACCCAGCAGTTGGAGCTGGACTCATATTAAAAGGATAGCATTGAAGTAAATAAAAATTAAAAAGAATCCTTTTGAAGAAGTTTTTATTACAAAATTTTGGATGATTTGTAGGCTGTTGAGGTTGCCAGTCAAGTGAATCAATGGGCTGAAAAGGAAACAAGTGGGCTTATCAAAGAAATACTTCCAGCTGACTCAGTTGACAGCTCAACAAGACTTGTGTTTGCAAATGCATTGTACTTTAAAGGAGCCTGGGATGAGAAGTTTGATGCATCAGTGACCAAGGAAAGTGAGTTCCACCTTCTCAATGGAACATCTATTCAAGTGCCCTTCATGACTAGCAAGACGAAGCAGTATGTAAAAGCTTTTGATGGTTTCAAGGTGTTGGGTCTTCCGTATAAACAAGGTGAGGATAGGCGTCGTTTCTCCATGTACTTCTTTCTGCCTGATGCCAATGATGGACTGCCAGCTTTGGTAGACAAGGTCAGTTCCGAATCCCAATTCTTGGAGCGACACCTTCCATATCAAAAGGCTGGAGTCGGTGAATTCCGTATCCCCAAATTTAAAATATCGTTTGGATTTGAAGCTTCCAACATTCTGAAAGGGCTTGGCCTGGTATTGCCTTTCTCTGGTGATGGCCTCACTGAGATGGTGGACTCCCCTGTTGGCCGTAACCTTTATGTTTCTAGCATCTTTCACAAATCCTTCATTGAGGTAAATGAAGAGGGAACAGAAGCTGCAGCTGCAACTGCTGGTGTTGTTAAACTAAGAGGATTGCTGGTCGAAGAGAAAGTAGACTTCATTGCTGATCATCCATATCTCTTCCTGATTAGAGAAGATGCAACAGGCGTGGTACTGTTTGTTGGTAGTGTGCTTAATCCTCTTGCAGAGTAAGTCGTATTCCACTATATGAAGGTTGATATATGTTGTTTGTATCTTCTTTGTATCCCTCGGACTACTTTAGTACCCAGAGTTAGCTCAAACCACCTCCCTGTCCTTCTATCTTACCAATACTGTGAGTAAAATTTGCCAACTGCTCTTTGTACGTTTGAAGTTCAGTGTGACTTGTAATGCCCTACAGTGTACTATGAAATAATTGACATCAAAGGTCTGTAATACTTCAATTTAGATGTATAATATTTATTTCAAAATGGCCTCATCTAAAGCAAGTTATAAATTGCTACTAGCACACACCATCTAAATTTGAAAAAAATGGTCTAAACCCCCCCCCCCCCCCAACCTATACCCAAAATCTCAACTACACACTCCAACTTTACGGGTGTTCTATTACCTCCCTGAACTTCATATTTCTCTATTTTCTACACACTTAAACGCTGACATGTCATAGGAGGTGTTCTCACCTCCTTTAGGCGCGTTAGAAGGTGAATTTTGACGAAAATTTTCTCTTTCTCCAACAGTCATCTTCCCCACCCTTCAAAAAACCATTGTTTCTTCTTCCCCACCATTAACTCTTGTTCCTTTTAGAAAAAAATCACGATTTTCTCTCAAAAATAAGTAGGGTTTAGTTATTTAAGTTCATTTCTACTTCAAATCTTGAATTTAGGGTTTGTAATCTGCTCTAATTTCTTATTTAGGTCTCTAATTTGAATTTTGAATTTTGAATTTTCTCAAAATTCATCAAAAATGGCAAATGAAAACTCGAATAAGCTTTGTATGGATGAATCAGACCCAAAATTAGTTGATAACTACGAAATCAAGTTCAAAATACACAGCAAAATCCTTCGATCATCAAGTTCAAAATACACAGCAAATGGTGAAGGAGATAAAAAGGAAAAAAGGATATTTTTTGGATCTTTTACGTTTTAGGAGGGAAATGGGGAAAAAACAAAAATTGGGAGTTGAAGAGGTGAGGGATCCGGCGCGTGCAATCACGTGGATTATTTGTTTGGTTTATGTGTTGAGGTCAGCGTTTAAGTGTGTAGAAAATAGAGAAATATGAAGTTTAGGGGTAATAGAACACTCGTGAAGTTGGAGTGTGTAGTTGGAATTTCGGGTACAGGCTGGGAGAATTTAAACCATTTTCTCTACTATTTACAAGTCTTTACTTGTTATAGCCTCTTGTTCTTTATCACAGTATCTTGCAGTAAGTTGGTTTTAATCATCAATGAAGTCCATAATTTAAACAAGAAAGGAACATAACATATTGCAGTCTTAAATATCCATTTAAAAGAGCTTCAGAAAGTCACTTTCTTTGTCAAAGAAAAGTAAACTTTTCAAAAATAACAACTATTACACTTGAGTCATCATTTGAGAAATCAACCCCAAAGTTTAGTGTTGCTCTCCTTCACTTCTTTAAACTTTATTGTAGTGAATTTTATTTGAAGATCTCTAGTTACAAACTTTTCACTCCTTGTCAAATGTGAACTATAAATAAATGGCAAAAGAGGCTATTTATGGAATTTGAGTATCATTATACCTTATAAAAGCAAATCAAATACCACACGACTTGAATTGAATTGATATAATTAGTGCATGTGTATGTGAGCAAAGGCCGGTGCCGACCTTTTAGTACTACTACTTTTCAAGTGACATTTGTGTTTTGACTTTTAGATGAATTTTCAATTATCCCATCAAATATTTTTCTTCAAAAGAAATTATGCCTCACATTTTTATTTTATTTGTTGGAGTTTTTATTAAATATTTTCAAAAGACTGATTTTTAAAAAAAAAAATTAAGAAAAAAATATCAAAGATGATAATATTTAATTCCTATCATCATCAATGCTATTAATTTAATTTACTTCCTTCCCTTAATCTCATCAATATTAATTTTATTTATATTGTTTCCTTAAATCACTTTTTTTCTTTATATTTTCTATTAAAGTTTCATATTTTTTTAATTAAATTTTATCAATATTCACGAAATTTTCCCTTAAATAAAATTATTCTTCCAAAATAAAATATGCCTCAAATTTTTGTTTTATTTTATGGAGTTCTTTTTTTAATTTCTAAAGACTGATTTTTTTAGAAAAAGTAAGAAAATATATCAAGAATGACCATATTTAATTCCTATTATAATAAATGCTATTGTTTTCTTTTACTTCTGTAACACCCCAGAAAATTTTTGAACTAAGACTCGAACCGTTCTTCGTAGTGAGTGAGATTTTACCAAGGAGTTTAAAATTTCTTAAGTGTTAAGGTCACTAGATGTAGAACCTTGAGTTTCAAAAAGAATTAAATTGGAAATAGCAAAATCTGAAATTTTACAAGTTATGCTTAAGTATGAGTTTTGGGTCGACTTCAAACAACTATAACTCCTAGCTCAGGATGAATTAGGTGTGCTACCAGATACCGTAGTGAAGATCTTTGAATTATCTTTCCAACGCCGTGGAGTTTGCTATGTTTCGAGGTCGGATGAGTGAGATATGGCCTTTTGAAGATAGGCTGTCCAGTTAAGGAAGGTTAGCCGAAAATAGAGAAGGGTATTTTGGTCTTTTCCTTACCCAATCAGATTTAATTCAATTTTAGTAATATTTTAAGGGTCTAATCCTATTAGGTTCAGTTTTATAATCCTAAAATTAGCCTAGGGTTTTAGTTGAGAGTTCAAGAAGAGAAAAGAAGAGAGAAGAGGAGAAAAGAGGAGAGGATCAAGCGTTCGTCGAGATTCTTGCGTGTTGTAGCGGATTTTCGCCATGGGTTTGATCCCTAAGAGGTATGTAAGCTTCCATAGTGTTGGGTTCTTTCACCCACACGCCAATCATGATTTATTCAGCGTAATTTCGTTCTTGAAATTTAAAGATTAGAGTTCTTGATGAGTTCTTAATAAGTGTTCTTGAAGTTTCATTAAGTTTTAATGTAAGATTCTGCTTAGGTCAACTTTAAACGACCATATCTCTTAGAATATTAAGAGTTACGTGAGCCATAACCTATCCAATTAAAGGTAATTGAATCTACTTTCCAACCCCACCAGTTTCACGTCAATCCAATATCTGAGTAAAATATTAGTAACCTATACAGTGCTGTTACGAATTAGCCGACGAGAAAATATTGAAAATAATTGTTTTTGTCTTTTTACCTCCAAGAAAACCATCAACGAATTTCTTGACTAATTAAAAAGCTCAAAACAATCAGATTTTTCATCTTCACTAATGAAAATCATAATTCTTGGCCATAGAGATTTCAAGAAAACTAATTCAAGAATCTCAAGAAAGGTTTTCTTGATTGTTTACCTTCAAGCTAGGGTTTCAAGGCTTCTAATCAAGTTCTTCTTCAAGATTCTTCAAGAATCTTGTTCTTCTAGGTATGTAAGGCTATCATAGTGTTGGACTAGTTCGTCCTCACGCCCTACATCTACTTTCAGATTAGAAAAAGAGTAATCTAGGATACTTTCCCTAGATTTGAGTATTCTTGAGATAAGTTGATTTTGAGTTCTTGAATTCATGTTTCTTTTAAAAGTTCTATTCCTAATTATCGAATAGCTATATTGTTATTGAGATCCTTCATATCATGAATCATAACTCTTGAATTCATAATTCAAATTCAAGAGAGAGTTAAGAGTAGAGTTCAAGGAAGCCTTTGAATTCAATTCTGAATCCTTTGAGATCCATCATCGATTTGAGTTAAATTTTGAGAAAGTAAGTATGAGAATGAGAAGAGTTGTACATGAATTTCTTATTGATATTTTGACCCTTGAGTCGAGTCGTTCATGCCCATAAACTCCGCATGCACGTCGTAAGTTGAGCATCCTTTAGAGAAGTGGTGTCTTCAAGTTCTAAGCCTTTTAAGTATTGAGTTTCTAACCCCTTTGAGATTATATTTCTAATCATGGGACTATTACATGTTATCCATGAAGTCCTTGAGTTGAATTGTTCATGCCCATAATTTCGCATGAACATTATAAGTCGAACAGTCTTGAGATGAGAGGTATCTTTGAGTCATTGAGTTGAGTAGTTCATGCTCATAATTCCGCATGAACTCTGAGTTGAGCATTCTTGAAATGAGTAGTATTATTGAAGTTCTTGAGTTCCAAGTATTTGAGTTCTATCTATAGTTATTGAAAACCTTGCATTAAGTAGTTCATGTCCATAATTCGGTATGAACCATATTTTAAGAAGTCTTTTACAAACGTTTTAACTTTGTTTTAAGACTTAAGTTTTGAGTTCAGTAAAGAGTAAAGAGTAAAGTTTGAAGTCCTTTTCTTCAAAAGTATATGGGGACTAAGTATTCCCAAAGAGTTTATAAATGTTTTCACATTTAAATAAGAACAGAAACTGAGATTTCCAAAGGGCCTTCGGGCTAGTTTTCAGAAAAGAGTAATAGCTTTCTAAATGAAACAAGTAGGGAAACTGAGATTTCCAAGATAGCCTTTGAGCTAAGTTTTTGAGCAATTATCTTAAATCAGCAGAAAGAAGTATGTTTTTAAAACATAAGAGCTAGTATATTTTTGGGAGTAGTATTGAGCACCGATATGGGGAAAAGTTCAGACAACTCACAGCCCCCATAAACCATGTAGCCATCATGGGTAGAAAAGGGTCATACTTTTTAGATGAACCTTTTTCACATAGACTAGTGGATCCATTAGTAGTCCAGGTCCTATACCTTTGGCCGGGTATAGGATGCGCTGGCAGCGTGAGGTAGATCGTTGTATCATCACTATAGCTCTTATGTGATGGTTGTCGGTTAGAGAAACTCCCACAGAAATTATTGTATTTTTATATACATTTCAGAGTTATGTTGTATCCTTGCATACACACAGATTTGACAGCATGTTTTTAAACAATTTGTTTCTTTATATTGCACTTGTTTTAAATTGCTTTATATTGAAATGAGTTCAGTCATATTTAGTTGAGTATTCAAAGTTGAGTATCCAGAGTTGAGTATCCAGAGTCGAATATCATATCTTTGAGTCGAATATCATATCCTTGAGTTGAGTATCTTATCCTTGAGTACTTTTGAGTTGAGTAAGTTTGAGTAGTTTTGAGTACCCTTGAGTCTTCCTTGAGTTGAGTAAGTTTGAGAAGAGGTAAGTATGTTTCATTTCTATCAAGTTTCAAGCTTATGTTTATGTTTTAGAATTCCTCTTACATGCTCGTACATTCCACGTACTGAGCCATTTAGCCTGCATCTTTTCATGATGCAGACACATGTATTCAAG